AGCAGTCGATATTTTAGAGCATGATGTACACAAACTTGTTCTGCACGAGAAGAATAATCAGAAACTCATTTTTCCCTTAATACTTGAGTAAGAAGACGGCTCATATTTAGGTGCACGGTGGCGGGAAAATTTGGAGTAGCGAAAGGTTTTAATCTGCGTTCCATAGTGAAGGTTTTGAGTGGCACAGAGCCGCTACTGGTTTTTCGAAAAAACCAGCCTTATATAAAAAAAACGCTCAGTCTGATTGACTCAAGGATAAAAAGAACCGGAGAGCCAAAAAATAATCTGACTGTGTGTACCGGTCCAGTTACACATCTCGCTGACTGGACCCTTCTACCAAAATACTTTGAGGCTGGTTTAGGATTTCTGATTTCTAGGATTTTTTTATCTGTTTAATTAATAACAACAACTGGTGCTGTTTAAAAATTAATATATAAGTCTTCAAACAGAGGGGAAAAAATAAATTAGTAACGTTACCGTTATACAGCTACATGATGCTTCCAATACAGACGTAACCTGATGTTTTTTCAAAGTCTTCTGTGCACTGAAAGCAAATGCTGCGCGAATTGTACTAGACCTCTGTTTTAAGTTTAAAAAAATATTGGTATTTTTAATTTATTTCGCTCTCATAGTTGTTATGTTACAGAGTTGGATTGAACACGGTGCAACAAAGTTCTACATTTACCACCACAGTATGTCAAAAGAATTTGACGCTTTCCTGAAGGTTTACGAAAACGATCTTACTATATCGGTTGAAAGGGTGTCATGGAGCGTGCTCCCAGTACCAAACGATACCCTCAAGTCAAGCGATCCAAATAATCTTATAATGGGAAATGCAGTTTGTTATTCTGTATCATAAAACTTAATTGATTCTCTTTCTACTTCTCTAGATGATAATGCTTGCGTGGGCACAGATGCATTCTCTTTCAAATTTTTTCTTCAGTCTCAAAAGATAAACTGAGAAAGAACTGGGTCACCGTTTCCACTTTTATGAATAAATTTTGGGAGTGACATACTCAGTCGTATCGTTAACTGTGATCCAGAAATTGAAAACTGAAGCAAATTTTAAGTTTTAGCAAATTTTGGCATGGAATGACTGTGTGCTTCGAAC